TGTAGCTGTAAACCAATTTTTTCAAACTCCAATGGCACAAAGTGAATATATAAATTGGACCAGATATAAAATGGTAAGTTGGTAGGTGGTCCATGATAAATTGAAAAGTACATTCTTGCCTAGAGCTACACATTTAAAAATATTTAAACACTGCAGATGGTGACTGCAGCCATGAAACCAGAAGATGATTGCTTCTTAGCAGGAAATCTATGACAAACCCAGACAGTGTGTTAAAGAGTAGAGACATCACTCTGCCAACAAAGGTCTGTATAGTCAAGGCTATGGTCTTCCCAGTGGTCATGTATGGTTGTGAGAGCTGGACCATAAAGAAGGCAGAATGCCAAAGGATTGATGCCTTTGAACTGTGGTGCTGGAGAAGACTTCTGAGAGTCCCTTGGACAGCAAGGAGATACAGCCAGTCAAACTTAAAGCAAATCAGCCCTGAATGCTCACTGGAAGGACTGATGCTGAAGCTGAAGCTCCAGTATTTTGGCCACCTGATGGGAAGAGCTGACTCACTGGAAAAGTCCCTGATGCTTGGAAAGATTGAGGGCAGAAGGAGAAGAGGGTGTCAGATGATGAGGTGGCTGGATGGTATCACCAGTGTAATGGACATGAACTTGGGCAAACTCTGGGAGATGGTGAGGGACAGGGAAGCCTTGGTGTGCTGCAGTCCATGGGGTCTCAAAGAGTCAGACACAACTGGGTGACTGAACAACAACAGTGAACACTATGGGACAAAGAAAACATATCCTTGTGCCTCACATGCAACCTCTGCTCCATACTTGCAGAACATGGGGTGTAGAAGAAGAAATAAAGCAGAAATAAAGAAGCACAAGGAGATGATATGAGAAGTGATTTGGGTCACAGGAATTTAGCCTACAGGACTGAGGTACAAAGAGCAAGGTTGACAAATATGGCTGATGCTCATCCAATATCACCAGCTTCTTTCTATCTCTCTGTACTGACTTGGTTTTGTTGTTGGGATAGCACAATATGTCTATAAGGATGTGGCTCTGGGCATAATACCTTTAGTCAATTTCGTTACAGTAAAATGACATAATAATAATTATATTATAGAATTGCTAAGAAATTAAGTGAAAGTATACATGACAAAGGCTTAGCAGAGCTTTTTCACATTGTAAATACTAAATAGATTATTATAATCACTGGAAAGAACTACCTCCTTAAGCACTCCTTGAATTTCTAATATATACTGAAGATCGAAAATAACACTCAGATTTATATGGTAAGAAACTTACAAGGGAAAAGGCAAAGTTTTTTCTTTCACTCAAATAAATCAATAACCATGAAACCAAAGATACAAGTTTCCCCTCTGTGTGGGTTGATTTGTAACCACAAACATCTTTCCTTTAGAACTATAAAAGGTACTGGGCAAGTGATTTGGACTCTATCTACAAGTAGTCATACTTGTACCAACCAGATCATTGTTTTCTGAAATGATGTTCATAGAAATGCCTCAGGAATTTGGTTCATTTAAAAATTCATTGACTGAACAGCACTGTGTGAGACACTATGCTCAGTTTTGTAAATCTGAGATGAAGAGAGCAGGATTGCTGATCCTGAAGCCCTGACCTGCCCAGAATAGAGAAGAGAAACATGGAAGAAGGTTATTTCAATACAATTGCAATGCCTGAGTTCTTCACTCTGTTTTATATATCTTTCCTTCCACCTATTTCAGTGGGAGGGGATTTGTAAGAATTGTGCAAATGCAAGGATCAGTATGCTATGAAAAGACTGAGGGAAGATACATGCCTAGCTTTCAAAGTCTAGTTTTAGCTCTATATCCTCCAGGAAGTTTTCCATTCTATTGTGATTTTTAATTACTAAAAATCCTTTGAAAATGGCTGATTAATCATTACCCATTAAATGGCAATTAATATGCTTCCTGAGCATATGTTTTATGTACCTAACCAGATTATAGTAAGCCCTCTGAGGAGAGGACTGTTTTGGGCAGCATGCAAGCTACATAAACCTGAAAGCTGAATGTTTTATTGTCACTAGACTAGGAGCTAGACTAGACAGATGGACCTTTGTTGGCAAAGCAGAGACATTACTTTGCTGACAAAGGTCCAGTTAGTCAAAGCTATGGTTTTTCCAATAGTCATGTATGAATGTGACAGTTGGACTATAAAGAAAGCTGAGAGCTGAAGAATTGATGCTTCTGAACTGTGGTGCTGGAGAAGACTCTTGAGAGTCCTTTGGACTGCAAGGAGATCAAATGAGTTAATCCTAAAGGAGATCATTCCTGAATATTCATTGGAAGGACTGATGCTGAAGTTGAAACTCCCAATACTTTGACCACATGATGCGAAGAACTGACTCACTGGAAAAGACTGATGCTCGAAAGATTGAAGACAGGAGAAGAAGGGACAACAGAGGCTGAGATGGTTGGCTGGTATCACTGACTCAATGGACATGAGTTTGAGCAAGTTCTGCGAGGTGGTGATGGGCAGGGAAGCCTGATGTGCAGCGGTCCATGGGGTCGCAAAGAGTTGGACATGACTGAGCAACTGAACTGAACTAAACTGAGACTAAAAAGCAGTAAAAAACAATGTCCACAAATAATAAATATAATACCTTGGTACTCTATTATATTGAAAGCTCCTATGAAACAGTGTTTCATAAGACTTTTTGGTATAATTTAAGTATTTAGGTTAGAGACAGAAGAAATGGTAAATATAAACTTCTGTTATATAATAAATGTTCTATTGAAACTTTTAACCAACAACATTTGTATTTTTGGTCCTGCTTTATTACCTGGTGGTAACAATTTACACTTACTCTCAGGGCAGCAGAACACACATTCAGCTGCCCCATAAATGAAGAGTTGCAGCCAGAGAAAACTCAGTGATCTCTCATTTATTTTAATGACACATGGCAAAGGTGGCTGGGATGAAAAATAATATGCCTAAAACTCACAAATCACCAGTTTGATAATTTATCACCTAAATCTAGATTTCCTAACTATTGCTACTGAAGCCCATAGAAAAAAATATGCTTATTAACATAAATATTGTTAAAAGAGAGGTAAAAAAAAAATAATGGGCTTCCTTGGCAGATAGTAAAGAATCTGCCTGCATGTGGGAGATTCAGGTTTGATCCTTTGGTTGGGAAGATACCCTGGAGAAGGAAATGGCAACCCACTTCAGTATTCTTGCCTGGATATTCTATGGACAGAGGAACCGTGCAGGCTACAGTCCATTGGGTCACAAAGAGCTGGACACAACTGAGCTACTAACACACAAAGAAAATAATAAGAGGAAAGAAATTAATTTTATTTGAAAACTAGTAAATAATTATAAATAGATTGAGTCCTATATATGTTTACTTCCAATATCTAAGATTCAGCCACTGCTCATATCTAATTTTATCACTCCTATATTTCATATCTATCTCTTCCTTTCATTTCCTCTGCTATTTGTGAAATTCTGCTTTTCATTACTTATCTAGATCACTGCAACAACTGCTTCACCAGTTTCTTGACTTTCTGCTCAAGCTGATCTTTTACAAAGATGCTGAATTAATCTTGCCATAATACAGTCCCTAATTTCTGATTCCTTGCTCAAATATTCTCAGTGCCTCCTTCTTGCTTTTAGAGCAAAGTCTAAACTACTTTACTCTAGCATTTAATAATTTCTGTGCTCTTGTTTCAATTTATTTTTCTCTCCCAACAGTCCTCTTCATACATTACATACACTAAATACATTTATACATTTCATCCACTGAAGTGAAACTATTCAGTACTCCTATACATGCCTTTAACTTTCTAATATCTATTTCTTTCACATCTTCCCTAAGCCTGGGATGCTCTTCCAAACTCTATCCATCCTTTAGGGTCAAGCTTGAATGTTACCTCTTCCATAAAGTTGTTTTTAAATTCTTCAGAAGTAATTTTTATTCTTTCTGAAATTTTACAGAAAATATTTCACTATCTCCTTAAAATAACTTATTGGTTTATATCTAAAGTATATTGAGTACTGGAGTCTGTGGCAGTTTTACCTGGCTCTGTCATGCCAAGTATAAAGGCTTTGAACATAGTAGATACCCAAGTAGTTGCTGAACAAATGACTGGCATAATTAATGAATATTTAGTAGTTTCAGAACTGTGGACTTTGTATAAAGGGTCATACATGGGACCTATCTGAACTTCATTGACAACCATAAAATAAACATACTGATTTTGAATAATCTGACTTGTTTTATAAACTAGTGATTTATTAAATTTTTCCACCTTTTCTCCTTATCATCTCTGGGATTATAGAGAGATGGCCCAAGGAGCTCCCTCTTTGGCAGTGAGAAATGAACAGTAGAGAAATGAATTTTCTACTGTACACTCAGCCTCTGACTAAACCTGTTCCATTTTGTATATCAGCCTCCTTGTAAGACTTTGCTTAGAGAAAGCATTCACTGCTAAAACAAACAAACAAAAAACCTTGGGATTCCAACACTGAGACACAGTAACTCTCTATTTGCTTCAAGTCTCCATTCCACATGAAAACATCTTCATGTGATAGTGATGTAAATGAGCTGCTGTGTTTTGGCTGAGTTTGTTCTTATAAGAAAAATACCGAAGTGTTAGCATAAAATGGTATTTCAGACAATTTTATATCAGGTCCTCCTACAATACCTAACTTTGCAAGAGACATGATATTCTATAATGGTCATTGATCTCAATCCTTGATCTGACTCTAGTGGCCTGAGAACTAGTTAGCTGTTGAATTTTACAGATGTTATAATCTTTCTGGATACTTTTCATAGCTTTGAAAGACCCCTGAGAAGCAGTTATACAGCTTTATATTTCTGTAAAAGACAATGGCACAACATTCTATTGCCTAGGCTAATGGTAGCCCATCCCCTCACCCACAGAATAGAAAATTGTATTCTACAATAAATATAAAACATATCTTCACTGAAATCTATCTTAGACTCCTGGTCAGTTACACAATTTCAGGTTCATTATTTAGGGGAAAAAATACCTGTTTAAGTCACGGTGAATAATTGGCTGTGTCAAGTTGTGAAGGTACTCCATACCTTTGGCAACATCTACTGCAATGATTAATTTTGACTGCAAATCAAGTATCCTAGAATTTAAAAATAGATTTAATGAGGATGAAATGGTCAAATCCAATACTACATCTTTTAAAAGAAATCAATAGTGTGTGTAATTTGTTATTCTGTACAATTTCAGCCTTTTTTGCTTGATTGAAGGTTAAGCTAAAAACTCAACAAATGTGGAAAAATAGCTTTTCTACACCTGATAATGCTTAACTATAGATCAATTCAGATACCAACCCCTCTTATTTAAACATTCAACTTGATTTTATATCATTTGTAATATTACACTTAATTTCTTTATAATAACATAAAAAGGAAATCTAATCCCTGAGTAAAAATCACTTTCTAATTACCATATGCATAGATCTAGGAAGTGAATTCAAATTAGACTTGTAGAAGATTATTCTTTCTTAAAACTTTAAAAAATAAATACTGCGACTCCTGGTAATTATTTTATTCTGAGATCACACATATCTGCTTTCCTGGTACGTCAAATTTAGCCTAATTATTCAGTTACTAATTTAAATTCCTTGAATTTGTTATCTTAAACTGGATTCTTGTTAAGAAAACATAGAAGTCTTTCTAGTCATTAAAAAATAATTATTGGGCATAAATTATTAGCCATCTTTAGAATGCCCCATTTCCTAGAACTCGGAGATTGCAGAAAGTAAAGGCTCATCTAAGCAGAAAGCATATGAGGTGTTGTAACTGTAATTCCAATGACATGCAAAATGATAAATCAGTGACCTTACCTCTTCTGCTCATGGAGCAGGGAGAACAGGGAACCCCCAGATATGTACTGCGTAACAATGGCGAACTGGCTGGGGTCATTCAAGCAAGCACCCACAAACTGAACGACACACGGGTGATTGAGCCGGCAGAGGATGGACACCTCTCGGCAAAACATATCCACATCCGACTTGGAGCAGTAGGTGTTGGCTCGGTAACTGGAAATGACAGCAAGAGGAAGTCTTCAGTCATCAGATGAATCAAAACAAGGGGCTCACCATGCATATACTTCTCAACATTTACTACTCAGATGCTAAAATTTCTCATTTGCTGGCTTACCGTTTTATAGCCACTATTTTATTTCTGCATCGTCCTTTATACACTTTCCCAAAAGAACCTAAAATTGTGTAAGACAAACACGTAAACCCATGTTATCATATGGAGCTCATTAAACTGAAACAGACTAGTATTTTCTTAAGTTACCTGAGCCGATAATCTCATGGAACTCAATTTCTGAGAGCTGAAGATGGAAATGTGAAGGCAAGCCAGCCCTTAAGAGGAGAACATCTGCCTTCTCTGCAAACAGAAATTGTTATTTTATATATTTTAAAAAATAAACAGCAAACATGTGGATGTTTAAACACACATGCACATATATGCTTAACCAAAAACATCTTTCCCTAGTACCATTTAATTTTCTAACTGTAACTGACTATTTGGACATACAAAAACCTTGTCACAAATGATCCCTATCCCCACGCATTAAAAACATGTTAGCTCTCTGCCTTTGCTACCTGACCTTTGTTATCAGAGAGTTTATACCTGATTTGGCCAACCACTACTTGTCTGTATGATGTGGCAACTCTGGAATACAGTTCACATCACATCATGAGAAAGAGTCTTATCCGGTCAATCCCTTCAACCTGTCACACAAAGCTTAGTCAAATAGCCATAAATTCAACCTTAAAGAGATGCCAATTAGGAAATAAGCATGTGAATCATTCAGAAGACACATTCAAAGCCAGAAATAATGTTTTAGAATTTCAAACTCTAAATAATTCAATATAAATTTATAGTTGTATACATTTTACTTCCCTAATTCAGTGGTATTAATTTCTGTGTGTAGTATACATTCAGAAAGTTCCCAAAGTATTACTTATTTGGGATCTCTTGAAAAATAATTTATTTTTTTTCAGTTTTTTCCCCTATGACATACCTGTTACCAATTCTTATGAAAGATATTAATAGTTACAACTTAACTGTCATTAAAAATACAGAAGTCTATGAGAATTTGATCTTCTTTTAATATTCATATGGAATTTTCACTGTTACACCTTCATGAACTAAGAGGACATATGCAAAATAACAGCAGATGAGGTTAATTGTGGAAAGAATGATCTGCTAATAATATTACTTATGCCTGAAAAATAGTCATTTGTAATATGTAAGACAAAATAGGAAGTTACCATATTTGAGACAGTAATTACTCAGTAATAAAATATAACAATTGTTCCATGTTAAAATACCTTTTGTCATGCTTTTAATCTTCCCCAAAGGAGATGGAACAGACACATAGGAGCCATCTGAAATCAAATTATATTATAGAGTTAAAAGTAGCAAATGGTTTTTCCTACATAAAAGTTAAGCATTATGCAAAGAAGCACATAACAAAAGAAAACTTGCTAATAACACCAAGTGAGAGTATAACTTAAGCCCAGGTCTTCCTATGGATACTAAAACTGTACAGCAAGTATCTATTTAGAGTGTACATAAAATGATTAAGAATAAAAAACCAAGGTCTAGCAGACTCCAGCAAATTTAATTTGTGTCTGAATATGAGTATTCTCTGTCCTGTCTTAATAGATTGCTGAAAGGGAAAATGACTGCTCAGCTTACTAGGCCTTCCCAGGCATGTACCAGCCTCATAAACACCCAGTCCAGGGGATGTAAAACTTGGAGGAACTGCAGATTGGTGAGTTAGAAAGTAGCCTAAGTGGGGGCTTCTTTATTTTCAGCCTTACTCAGACATAAATTTTCTTAAAATAAAGCTAATTGATAAGCCTTCCTCCCAGACCCTAAAAATGTTGCTAACAGAAACACAGGTTTACCTTTAGCCACAATATCACTACAATGAAAATTTAAAAAGAAAGAGGGTACCTCCTCCAGGCTGAGAATATTCATTACAGGGCAATTCATCCTGAGGTCGCTTATAATGTTTCAGAAGTGTGACAATTGCATCATGTCCTTTATGAAAAGACAAAGAAGGGCAAAGGGTCTTAATTCTTATTTGATCTATTCAGCTCACCATCTAATTGCAAAATAACCAGAGATAGTTGAAACACAATGAATCTTAAGAAGTAATACACTGCAATAGGAATTGAGTACTTTCATTCATGTAGTCATTCAAAATAATTCATTAAGACTCCACTATCATTTTGTAACATATAAAAACATTGAATCACAAAGTCATATACCTGAAACTAATATAATATTGTAAGTACACTTCAATTAAAAAAAAAAAAAGACTGCTATATGTGAGGCACTATTTCAAGCACTATGTTGGGTATGGGGGATGCAATGAACAAGGCAACTGTGGTCCTTCTCTAAGGAAGTTTAGTGTAATTGAACAAACAGTAAGAATTATAGAATTTCTAAATGAGTAAACATCAAGTGCAATGGGAGTATATAAAAAGATCATGATTAGAAGAGTGAAAAGTACATTTGGTAACTAGGAAGGAGAAATTTATTTGCTGTGACCGAGCATTACATTTGACTGGCAAGTGCAGTATAACAGGGCATTAAGATAATTTCCACAGATTCCTGTGCCAGGAGACAGCTGGCTGCCTACCAGTATTTGTAGTTTCCATTCACAGAGTGAATTTGTCACTGAGAATGGCTGCCCATCCAGGGACAAAAACTCTGTATCCCCATTGCATCTAACTGTGGCTTTGTGACAAATACCCATCAAGTAAATATGAGCAAAAGTGATGTCATTTCCAGGTCTGGACTTTGAGAAATAAGTGAGCCTTCTCTCCTCTCGCTATTTGCTAGCTGGATGTGGAGGGCTCTGAGACCATATGGGAGGGGAAAAAGCAATCCACTGACCAGAAATGCCTATCCTGAACTGTAACATGACTGAGAAATAAATTTCTATTACATAATACCACCAAAATTCGGGAACTTGTTAATTGTACTATGAACTTAAAATTACAAAGATTAAAATGTCAAATCCTTCTTGAGTAGACAGACAATTTTCAATAGAACTAAACTTTGATACTATTTTATGTTTTAACTGTGAAAATAATCTACTGTAGCTAATTTATACAAGAAGAAAACAAAGTCAGCCTTAAAGACCCTGCCAAGAGACTTGTGAATTGCAACAGAACTCACTGTATAAAGGGCAAAATTTAGAAACTGAAAAAGTATAAGTGCTTATCTATCATGAAGGGTTCATAGTTAACATGGCTTCAGATACATTTAGCTAGAATATAGAGAATATGCTGTGAATTGTGCCTGCTTATTAAATCCTCCTTTCAAAAAAGAATTAAAATTAATAGAGCATGAAGGATCATGAGATAAAATGATTAAGATATTTATCAGCACTAAGAGCTTTTCAAAATTCATTTCAGATCCAGATTCCTCGAGAAAGTAAAAAAAAAAAAATAATTGTAACTATGATTGTTTAAACTTGTAGAAAAACATATCTACAGAGTTAACAATTAGTGTCCATTATCTTATCATCTGTAGCAGATCCATGATTTTCACAAATCATCGACACAGGTGAGGAGGGCATGGCAAACCACTTCAGTATTCTTGCCTGGAGAATGCCATGGACAAAGGAGCCTGGTGGGCTACAGTCCATGGGGTTGCAAAAGAGTCAGACATGACTGAAACAACCTAGCATGCACACATGCGTGATGAAATAATGGGAAACTAGTACCATCAATATTCTTTTACTGGACTCTCATGTGCTCACAATCAGGGAAACTGCAAAACATGAAAGACATAAGCCGACACCTGTTGGCTTTCTAAAGAAAGAGTCTACTAATCAGAAAGAAGAGATAAGGTAAAGAGCCTCAAATGGGAGAAAGCATGACATGTTCAGAAAATGAAAGATGGCCAGTTTGGTTGGAGCATCACAAGCAAGGATGAGTAGTCCAGATTTAGCTGGAGAAGTGGATGAGTGCACATCATGTGGAGGAGTGCTTTTCAGACTTAATTGTATGTACAAGAATCACCTGGAGGGCATGTTAAACCACAGACACCTAAGCCCTACTCAGAGATTCTGATTGAAAAGGCCTCTAGTGGGATCTGAGAGTTGCTTTTCTAACAAAGTCCCTGGTGAGGCTGATCAGTAATCCACACTTTAATACTACTGATGTGGAGCTTTACAGCTTATAGGTGAGGATAAGGAGTCTGGATACTAACACAGAGAAGATGGGAGACTGCTGGAAGATTTTGATTAATTGAAGGGCATGATTTGTTTTTACTTTTCAAAAATATCCTTGTTTATAGATTAGAGGTGATGAGACTTCTTCATAAGGCTGTCATAAAGATTAAGAGAGATAATAGATGTAATATGCCTAAGAGTTCTAACACATAAATATGCCTTTTGGATTTTTTCACTGCTTTCTTGCCTTACCATTTTGCTTCAAGAATTGTAAATGAACTTGGAACCTCTTTTTCTGGAACTTCAGATAAATTTTCTAAATCAGTCAGTTCAGTTCAGTCCCTCAGTCATGTCTGATTCTTTGCGACCCCATGGACTGCTGCACACCAGGCCTCCCTGTCCATTGCCAACTCCTGGAGTTTACTCAAACTCATGTCCATTGAGTCGGTGATGCCATCCAACCATCTCATCCTCTGTTGTCCCCTTCTCCCCTCGCCTTCAGTTTTTCCCAGCATCAGGGTCTTTTCAACTGAGTCAGTTCTTTGCATCAGGCAGCCAAAGTATTGGAGTTTCAGCTTCAGCATCAGTCCTTGTAATGAATATTCAATACCAGTATAAATACCACTGTATTCATTTTCTTTGCTGCTGTTGTTAATTACCACAGATATGGTGGTTTAATTCAACTCTACTATGTTATAGTTCTGGAGGTCAGAGTCCCAACATGATTCGCACTGGGTTAAAATCAAGCTGTTGGCAGGCCTGAATTCCTCCTAGAGGCCCTAGGGAACATCGGTTTCCTTTCCTTTCCTTTTCCAGTTTCTGAAAGTGAAAGTGAAGTAGCTCAGTCGTATCCAACTCTTTGCAACCCCGTGGACTGTAGCCTACCAGGCTCTTCCCTCCATGGGATTCTCCATGCAAGAATGCTGGAGTGGGTTGCCATTTCCTTCTCCAGGGGATCTTCCCAACCCAGGGATCAAACCTGGGTCTCCTGCATTGAAGGCAGACGCTTTAACCTCTAGAGGCACCAAAATTCCTCAGCTTGTGGCCCCTTTTCTATATCCTCAAAACCATCAACAGCTGGCTGAGTCTTTCTCACATTCTATCACTCTGGCTTCTGCTTACATTTAAGGAGCCCAGTGTTACATTAGGCCCATCTGGAAGATCCAGGTTTATTTTCTCTCTCTCAAAGTCAGCTAGTCAGCAGCCTTAACTCCCCTTTGCCACTTTCTACGTATGGCAGCATACTCACAGGTTCCAGGGAATAGGACCTCAGCATCTTTTGGGGGTATTGTTCTGCCTATGAACTCAAATCTCAGTGTGCTTATGTTTGCATGTTGGTACTGCTTTTCTTTCTTCTCCACTGCTAATGACCATTTGCGCCTCAGGCAAATTAGCACCACCACCAAGAATTTCCCACAGAATTAAAGCACCCCTTCATCTGTCCCACTGCTAGATTCTTAGGCTCTAAGGTTTTATCTGCTTCTATCCACACTGTCTGATCCTACTTAAATAAGACCTGTGATACTTTTGAAATTGTTATTTTACTTAATTTGATTTTTAAGTGTTTGGGACCAGGAAGAACAGAACAAATCAAAAACAAATCTTTTTCTTATTTCTGTTTTTCCTGAGAGAGGCTCCTCTGAGGAAAGAAAAGAACCCAAACCACAAGCACTTACCCAAGCACAACAAAGCTCAAACCACAGAGCCCACCTCGTTGCCAGTCTCAGCCCCTCTGTTGGACTGACAGTGGCTGACAGCTGAGAGGGCCTCCTGCTTCCCCTAGGGAAACAGAAAGCCACATCTTGAATCGTGAACGCCCGTGTGAGTCCGTGATCACACCGGTGATGTTCCCTTTCATCTCAACAGCTCTCTTGGCTCCACTTGCTCTGAGCAGTTTTAATTTCCTGCCAGCACAGTGGCACAATTTGCTGGCATTTTCCTTAGGATGCTTTTCATCAAGAGCCTAATGAGTGCCTGGGTTCTGGCGGATGATAAGCACGAGGCTGCCAGGGAAATGCCAAGAGGCCCCCTTGGCTCTGGAAGGCATCTCTGCCTAATTTCCCACCTCCTGCTACATGTACGGGCAATTCTCTGCTAGCATCGCTCTGACAAACTACCAGTGTGTGCAAAGAAACCTGAAAACCACTAGAGCCCAGTACCCTGATACTTGGCTGTGAGGGGTTAAGCAGAAAAAAGGCCTTGATGGAACTCACTAAATGGACTTGTGAGCCAAACTCCTGATAATGGATATACCCAGATAACCAAGGTACACTAATGGAACACATCCAGAGATAATCGAAGTTCCACTAATTAAATAAAATGTTTTCCCATATCTAAGAATTTACTATCTACATCCAAGTGTTTTACCCAAATAGGAGGTTGCTATGTTATTAGCCTAATGCAGTTATAATAATGATTTGCACTTTCAGACTATTACTCACGGGTGCCCTTGAGGGTTTTGGCATATGGGACTCTTCCCCGCTGGCTTGCAGTCACTTTCATTTCCAGCTCCCTGCTCTTCCAGTCCTGTCTTTATTCCCCAAGCACCAGGCTTCCCCTTTAATGTCTTCTTATGTTCCTTTATTCCTTATATTAGGAGTGATTTCCCCCATAACCCCCTCCCCCCCAACTTTCTGAATAGCTGTTTATTTTAAAACCTAAGTTGTCCTTTAAGGCTACAAGTCCATCCAAAGGGCTGGTACATGGACAATTTAGTATCTGTATGGTGGCCACACACACAAAAGAGGAATCACAATTATTTGAGAAAGGGAGGTACAAATTTTATTATTTCCCTATAAGGTTGTCTCTCAGTCCCTACCATTTCGCCCTAGAAACAATGAATGTTGTTCACTGC